GAGACCACCTGCCCGCGACCCGCGCCGATAATCCGCCCCTGCGACCCGCGCCCCTGACCCGCCCCCGCGACCCTTCCCCGACCCGCCTAAACTGTAGCAAGAGTGAGCACAAGCGTCAACGGCGGGCTATACAATGTTGCTTTACCTTGATGTCTTGTATACTGTTTGCCGGCATGGAATCCGAACGTTCGGTTCGTACCCTGTCGATGTGTAGTCAATGCGGTGCAAGATGCGTGATGCACGCTCTGTGGTGCAAGCTATGCCGTGTAAATTCTTCGGCGCAAGCTATGCGGAGAACAACCTGTGGTATAATCTAGGTGGCGTAATCTATGCGATGCAAGATGTGGCGTAAACGTTGTGGTGCAGCGTATGCGATACAACATACACGGCGACACGTGTGCGGTGTGGGCTGAATGTGTGGTGCGCGCTGTGTGGTGCAAGCTATGTAGTGCAAGCTATGTTGCGTGGTATGTTTCTTCAACATCTTGTTGAAGCATATTTGTGTTCATTGACATCAACGTGTAAGTTATGTGCTGTGAGCTATGTGGTGGAAGTTGTGTGACGTAAACTATGTGTTGAACGTTGCGAGATACAAGCTATGCGATGCAGTATGTTGTGGTGTGGGTTTGGTGGTGCAGCGTATGCGGTGTAAGGTGTCTGTGGTGTAACGTGTGTGGCTCGCATGTCATATGTTGGAATGTACGTGGTGATAGCTATGTGGTGCACGCAGTGTGGTGTAAGCTATGTCGCGCAAACAATGTTTCGAAATATGTTGCGCAATCGATATGGCATAAGCTCAGTGTTGTAAGCTGTGCGGTGACAGCTGTGTCACGTAAGCTGTGTTGAACGCTGTTTGGCGTAAGCTACGAGGTATAAGTTGTGTGGTGCAAGCTATGTGGTGCAAACTACGTTGCTGAATCCATATGGTGTAAAGTGTGCGGTGTAAGCTCGGTGAAACAATCCGCCTGCCCTCTTTGTGGCCACCAGGCTGCGTGGGAGAGGTTTCTGTTCCCCGCAGCAACTCCTCGACTGCTCGGTTCCAGTGCAAGTCCCCGTCCCAAGGCCTCAGATTGTGCAAACCCGCCGGCCCCCTCGGGGGCCACCAGGCTGGGAGGCGCATGGGCTCAAATTCCCTGCAGCAGTCAGCTGATCGCGAGACGGCCAAAGACCGCGACGTCCCTGGAAGGATCCGCGATCTCCCTCGCCGCGGCCGCCGCGGCCACGTCCGGGAAGCGGGGGGAAAGCAGCGCGCGGTGGACGGTCGTCGTGCGAGGGGACGTCTCGGGGTCGAACTCCGAAGTGCTCTCTGTCCTTCCTCGCCGCCTGCTTGAGCTCCTCGTTCGGCTTCCAGGTGCGGGTGTTGTGCCTGGGCTCTTCGATGCTGACCAGGGCCTCGCCCACCTGCTCCTCAGATACGTCGAGATTGTCAAGCTCGGCCAGACGGACCGCTGTGTCCTCCTCGCTCTCGAGGCCACTAGCATCAATTTGGCGCAGCGCCCGCGTCGCGCTCTGAAGTCAAGTTCGCCTCCAGACAGGGTACGAAGGTTATGGGCGCCCTGCTGCGTGAGTCCAGCGCTCTCTTCCATGAGCAGACACCTCAGCTTTGGCGACGTCCCAAAATCGGGACCTTCTGATTCGAATAATTGTGCTTCTCGTTTGCGCACAAATTGAGTCGCGCTCTCCCTTGGCTCACGATTCGCTTCAAAGGACGCCCGTCGACCAGCGCGTCTGAGCTCATCGCCTTTTTTGTTTTTTGTTTTTTTTTTTGTTCTCTTTCTCTCTCTCTCTCCATCTCTCCGATCTTGAGGTCCAATCGTTCAAGAGGTGTGTCAAACCACCGGCTGAAAACAATAATGCTCTCGGGTATGTCTTCGAACTTGGTTTGGAAACTCCACTTCGAACAACTTCGAGAATTTGTCGGAACTGCTCCCGGCGGGTGCGTCGGTATTTATATATCAGCGTCGAATGGCTTTCTGCCATAATCTGTAATAGTTCCATCCTGGCCAGCCGGGGGGGTTCGCAATAGTCCCCCCTTTGGCCCGTAGGACTCGCCACCTCGCCAGAAACGTGACTGCCATGCGTCGCCGTCCCAGCTTTTTGTAGCTTCGTGCCAGCTATCGTCTCGCCAACTCGCCAACTGCTGTCCCGCTTCTCCTAGGCCCATGAGGATCATGGCTGACCGTCGTCACTGGACTGGTTCTGCTGCTTCCTGCTGCACCCGTGGATCCAAGGGCCACTCCTGCTGTCGTGCCAGACGTCGCCGCTGGGTGCTGCGGCGCATGGCTCTGGATTGACTGGTCGAACTCAGATCGTTGCTGGCATTGTACCGCAAGCAGGTCTCTCAACTGCTCTGGGCTGATGCTGACCACGCTCGTAGTGTCTGAGCCTTCGTCGCTCGCTGGAACGGCTCCTGGCGTGGCTTCCTGCGCCTCGGACTCGGTCGCTGCTCGCGTGGCCGTCGCTGTGATTTCTGCATCCTCGCCTCCTGCAAGCATAGCTCTTGCTGTGGACCGCTGCTGCAAGCTAGAGTTAAGTCGTGCGAGTCCCCCTACAGGGGGATTTTGCGAAAAATTAAAAGTAGTCAGAAAATACCCCAAATGGTAAAAGATGCTCGAAAATTAATCCCCATTTTTTTTGAATATTTTTGCATACTCCTTCTGTAGAGGGGCAGGCCCGACTGAAACCTAGAGCGGGGACGCGGCAGGCCAAGAGCTCGCAAGCACCGCGGGCGCCGACCCTCACGGAGCCGCGCCTCGGATGCCCGTGGCTCCCCAAACGGCTCCGCTCCGCTGCCGACTGTGGCAGCAGAGAGCGGCGCAAGCGTTTTGCCTCGGGCAAAATGACGCAACTCTCTGGTCTCAAATCGGGCCTGTCCCCCTGCAGGCCGATTTTGGAAGAAAAATTAAAAAGGCTCCACACATGCCCGAACAATATTCAAAAATGGTCAAAAAATAATCCCCAGACTATTTTTTGACTATTCTTGAATTTTCACCTTGTAGAGGGACGGGCCCGACTTAACTCTGGTCGCAAGCTGCGCGGTTGCCGATCGGACACTCCCTGGATCGGTCCCTACACGCTGAACCTGATATCGAAACTCTGGAGATTTGTCCCGCACGGTGCATGCACCCGTGTTGGTCGGGGGGCAAGCACTCAGGAGAAAGAGGCTACGTGCTCCCTCATCGCGCTGGCAACGTTTTTTGGGGCAGAAGAACCTTGACACATATCGAAGGCACTTTCCACTCGGCGTTGCCGAACAACGTGGGCCCACGGCGCCGCGCGGGTCGCGCCTCGAGAAGCGCTGGAAAAGGCTCCGGTCGACGACCTTGACGCCCTGGAGAGACAGGTTGAACGTCCTCGCGCTGGCACGCTCCGGGGCTCGACCTGGTCGCTCGAGGAGGAGGGGCACGAGAATGAACACGGGTGCCCCGCGCCCAGCTCTTACTCGGCAACATCCTGTGTGGCGTCCGAGGCTGTTGCTTCGTTCGCCGGCGAGAGCCAAAGAGGGCTCCCTTATTCAACATTCCCTTATGCAGCAAGGAGAACTGGTCAGAAACTGTTCAAAGGGCCGACTTGAATGCAGATTCTGGGGACTGGGAGCACTCTCGCGCCGCAGACGGGAGCATCATCCTCTTCTGGGCATCGGGCTCACGCTCTACGGGGCCCCTTCCGCTCGGGTTAGCCCAATTAGATTTTCTATGTCGCAGCGCGCATCGCTGGTCCGTGCAGTCAAGACAACTCAAACTCGTGCCAATTTTCGCATTGTATCGCCCGAAATGTACTTGACGTCATTGTATTCAGCGAGCGATCTCCCTACGTTTCTGCGAGCCAACTCAGCCGCAATTGCGTCGGTCTTCGCTCAAATATGAAGCGCGCTTCCCGACGTCACCGCTGCTGGACCTCGTGGGGGTCACTTGATGTACCACTGGGACCTTACCTGTGGGGGTGACCATCCCACCATCGACACCTATCTTTTCCGGGGAGGATTATGGTTCCATGACTTCTGGGATATGTACGACAGGACCTGAACCTTGCCCGATGTAATCGGTTGCTCTAGTCATGCTTGAGGTCAGTCTCCAGCTCTTCGGTTGATAACCGAAGTTCTGGACTGACATTTGTATCCCACTGGGTTTTGAATCTCGGATATCTCAAAGGTTGAAGCAATGTGGATTTTATTGTGATTGGCTTGAATGAATCTGGGAGTCGCCTGCGGTGCGACCCGGCAGACGCAATTATCTCCGTAGTGCTAGCGCTTTGCGCGCTAGGACTTGAGGTGCAAATAGCGTCGCACGAGGTTTTGAAGGAGAGGAGCCAAGGTATCATACAGCATGCGGCGCCAGGATACTTGTTACGATGGAGGAGCGACAGGAAGAACCCAGGAGGCCGACCTTAGTGCCCAACTCCCTGAGGGCATCTGTTGCTTCATGGTGAGTCGGCGGCGAGCCTGGGAGGGGAGAAGTGAGAAGGGGGAAGCCTTCGTAGACGGTTCGGACGGCCTCGGGCCTTCTGAGATGTCTTCGGAACCTTCCCCCGAGGATGCGGCAAACTTCTCGGAAGCCTGGAGGGCTTCCGAGAAGCCCCGCCGCCTTCCGAAAAGGCCTTCTCCCTCTCACTCCCTCCCCTCGCTCGCCGCCGAGCGAGGGGAGAAGCCCCGGCGCCCTCTCACGAGGGAAGACGCCCGGGCGCCCGCTCACGAAGGGGCCCAGGGGCACACACACACAGAAGTATGCACCACATCCCAGAATTCCCAACACTTTCACTATTCACTGGATGCTCGTCCTCCCTTCCACGTCCCGTGTTTTCTCCATAAATCTAATCCCCCCCGGACACGGGGGGGAAGCCAATCTGAGCAACGTCGTAGCTTACTCGAAGGCAAGCCCCTTCCCTTTTATCCCTTCCCCCCGAGGGGGGGGAGTGCGGGGTGGTGGTGGGGGGGGGGGTCGCACATGGATACGCGGACGGGGGGGGGCACCCGGGCGGCGGCTCCCTTCGGAGGAGGGGAGCGGCCGCGACGCGGAGGGGAGCGGCCGCGATCTGGGGGGAAGCCAATCTGCTCCCCCCCGGACACGGGGGGGAAACCAATCTGAGCAACGTCGTAGCTTACTCGAAGGGAAGCCCCTTCCCTCCCATGGCCCGCGCTCTCCCTCCCATTTCCGTCGAAGGCCGAGGCCTCCAGGGTCGGCGGCACCGTCCGTAAGGCCTTAGCAATAAATATGCACCACATTCCAGAATTCCCAACACTTTCAACATTCACTGGATGCTCGTCCTCCCTTCCACGTCCCATGTTTTCTCCATGTCCACCAGGGCATCGACGATTACTAGTGTCTGTGTTTTTTCCCTCCGCAACTGGAGGCCTCCTAGATGGGGTCGCAGAACCGTGTCGCATCGCCAGTGCATCGGCGATACAAAAATCTAGGATCATCTTCCCCCTGTGGAGGCAGACCCCTGTGTTGGTGTTGGTGCCCATTTCCAGGTCTCCAAATTTTCCCTCCCTCCCGATCTCACTTTTATCCGCAACTGCGGGGGCTCAGCGCTTGCGCCCCCCCCCGACCTCCGTGGCCCAGGCCGCCGTGGACATCGCCGGCGGCAACAGGGGCCCGCCCTCGCTGCCGTCCAGCGCGGGCCCGCGCCGGAGCAGCGGCGCGGCCAGCACGTCGCAGATGTGGTCCCTGTGGAGATTCATCTCCCGCAGCGCCTCGTCGGGTGAGGTGAGGGAGGGAGGGAGGTGGGGAAAACCGCGCGCCACTCAAGGGGGGGAGAGAAAGAGAGAGAGAGAGAGAGAGAAAGAGACAGATAGACAGAGAAAGAGACAGAGAGAGAGAGAGAGAGAAAGAGAGAGAGAGAGAGACATTTATATATGTATACATATCTATGTGTATATGTATATAAGTCTATATGCACGCATGCATGCATGCATGCATGTAGATATGTATGTATGTATGTAGGTAGGTAGATATGCATGCATGTATGCATGCATGTATGCATGCATATATGTATGCATATATATGTACGTGTATGTATGTATGTATGCATATATATATATATATATATATATATATATATGCATGCATGCATGCATATATGTATGTATATAGGTTTGTTTGTTTGGTTGTCTGTTTGTTTGTATGCCTGTCTGTCTGTATGTACGCGCTGAAGATGTAAATATTTATGTATGTATGCATGCATGCATGCATGCATGCATGCATACATGTGCGTCGGCATGTATGTATGCATGCACGTTGTATTTGTGTATGTATGTGTGTATGTATGTATGTATGTATGTTTGTATGTATGTATGTATGCCTGCCTGTATATATGTATATACGTATGTATGCATGCATGCATGTATATATGTATGTATGTATGTCTGCATGTATGTATGTATGCACATATGTATGTATGTAGAAGTATGCATGCATGCATGCATATATATACGTATGTATGCATGCATGCATGTATGCATGCGTGCATGCATGTATAAAAGGGATACCCAGGCCCCCTCGCGCTGTGACAAACATCACGACGCGAAGCTTTTCGCCACTTTCGGCCCTCCGGGGGCCCTTCCCGGGCCTCGGGACCGTCAAGAAACGACTCGGGAGGAAAGCCGGAGCCGGGGTGAGCTGATTCTCTACCCTACCCTTGGCTATCCCCCCCCCCCTGTTGTTCCCCCCGATCATCTCTCCTCCTCCCTCCTCCCTCGCACCTCATCTAGGAGGAGGAGGAGGAGGAGGTGGAGGAGGAGGAGGGAGGAGGAGGGAGGGGGAGGGAATGGGTCCAGACCTCCAGGGGTCGATGTTGCGAAAAAATCACGACGCCGGGGGTCTGTGTGGGGAGGACCGCCCGCCACTCGGGGGGGGGAGAGAAACAGAGAGGGAGAGAGAGAGAGAGAGATAGAGAGAGACAGAGATAGAGAGACATAGAGACAAATAGAGAGACAGAAAGAGAGAGAGACAGAAAGGGAGAGAGAGAGAGAGAGTCAGACAGAGAGAGGTCCGACGCGAGAGGGTGGAGCGGCGACCATCAGAGGAGAACCTTGCGAACCCCGACCAGGGGCCAACTGGCCAACTCCTGCCAGGGGCCAGCGACAGTACGCCCATCCGGGGGAACCTCTCGTCAGGGATCGGGGGCGTCCAGGAGGGGGGCGTCCAAGATTGGGAGGCGCAAGCCATGACTGGCGGCTTGTGCGCGGCCCCTGGGGGGGGGGTGGCTGGGGACATATTGAAAGAAGAGGCACCGTGCCATCTGGGGGGATATCATGGCCCCCGCCATGAGATCCCCCCCCCTGGTCATCACCCCCCTCCCCAGGCCCCCGACGTCGTGATTTCTTCACAACGTCGAACCCCAATGGTCTGGACCCCTTCCCCAGGACCGGTTTTTCATCCCGAGTCGCTTCTTGACGGTCCCGATGCCCAGGAAGGGCCCCCCGGAGGGCCGAAAGTAATGAAAAGCCTCCCGTCGCAGTTTTTTCCCATCGCGAGGAAGGTCTTTGCCGACCCCGAGGGGAGAGAGGAAGCGAGGGCGACTCGGAAGCCTGGGAGGGGAGCGGAGGGGGCCGGGGGTCGTGGGTTGCTAGAAGTGCCCCTGGCCCAAGGTGCTCCCAGCTTTTCGCTCCTTTTGGAGCCCCCTGGGCCTCGTGAGGGGTGCTCTGGAGGCCATGGGGGCACTTCTAGCCACACCCGAAGGGGGGCCAGCGGAGCCGTGCGGAGGAGGCCAGTGGGGGTGAGCCCGCCACTCCCCCGCCTGCCTTCTCGCCCCGCCCGGCCTGGCCCAGAGCGAGATGGAGCAGTGGCCCCCAGCTCAGAGGTTAGATGCCTCCCAAATGGGGTCCGAGTAGATGGGGTCGGAGGGTCGCGCCGCAACGGCGATGAATCGGCGATGCATCGGCGATGCATCGGCGATGCACCAGCGATGCATCGCCGACGTCGGCCACGCATCGTCGGCGACGTCGGCGTGGAGAAAACCAGGCTCCGCATCGAGCCGCATCGCCGATGCATCGGCGATGCGGCGCGATCCTCGGACCCCATCTACTCCGACCCCATGTGGGAGACCGAGAAAGGTGTCCCTGGGGCTGCGACCGGACCTAGGACAAAAGAACATCCTTCAAGAACGTGAGGCCCTCCGCCGGCCAAACTGAAGAATATGTCAGGGTACCCTCCCCCAGGATGCACAAGGACATCCAACAAGCACGAAGAGCAGTGAGGTACCCTCCCCGAACCGACCTCGATCTTATACCTCGGTCCGACCGTACGCTGCCAGAGAGACTCTGGCGGCCTGGAAGAAACTCAAGCGAATACGCCCGAGGCATGTGCACTGCCCTGGAACTGGGAGCGCCTGGGGGTGCAAGAGAAAAATCAGATGCCGGTATGGATCCACACGCTGTCACACTTCGGTGTGGACGCTCAACGTCCGACGGTGACCAAGATCACGTGCTTCAGATTGCTCAGGGTTGTGGGCGGTAGGGGGGAGGAGGGAAATGGGCCGAACCGCCAGAAGATTTCGGCCGGCCAAGCCTCCTCCCGCCTCGGCCAGCCTGGAGTTGAGCACCGGCTCCCAGCCGTGGCCGCCCCTCGGGAAGCCCAAACACCGACCTGGCTAAGCTCGGATTGGACCGGAGAGGTCGTCCCAGGGGTGTTCCTGCCCCGCCTCCTCCTTCGTGGCCGTAGTCGTCGTTGTCGTCGTCCTCTCTCCTCCTCCTCCTCCTCCTCCTCCTCCTCATCCTCCTCCTCTCCCTTCCCCATCCCTCTCCTCCTCCATCCTCCCGAATCGCTTTTGCCCCAGCGGCGATCCGCTTCGCGATTCCCTGGACGGCCCAAGCGCATGGCCCATCTCCTGGCGCGACCACGGCACATCCCGGCAGTCGAAGCCGCTGGCTGCGCTCACTGGGCAACCATTGCGACGCGCTGCGTGGTGGCCGCCGGGACAAGCTTAACGGCCGCTTCGACGAAACGTGGGAGATCCGACGGATGCCCGCACGCTCACCTGCCAGCGGGCGCCGACGCTTGCGTCCCAGCCTTTGGCCTCTGAGCGTCGGTCGGAAGAAGCAGGCGAAAACGTGAAGTAGGAAGGCGGATGGAGCAGATTGGGTCTGGGCCCGCCCAGAGAATGACTAAACGCAGCAGAAGCATATCGATTCTTGAAATAAGAAGGCGCTCGAAGTAGATTGGGATCTGTGAATTCAAATATACCCGCTTTCAGCGACCGGCCTCTGCTCATGCTTTGCTGAGGCCCCCGCCCTCCTCGCCCTGGCCGAGGCCGCAGACGCTTGCGAGGGCAGAGGACGCCAGTAAGCCAGCCACTGCGCCCATTGCGGCCTGCGGCCCCACCACCGCTGGCCGCGGCCTTGCCGCGGGGGGCGGCCGCGGCGACCTGCGGCACGCCGCCGCGCCCCCGAGAGCCCGCGGTCATGCTGCCGCGCCCAGCGCCGACTGCGGCGCGTCCTCTGCGCCCGCGGCGTTCGCGCGCCTGAGCGGTCAGCGCGCATGCCGCCGCGCTGCTGGGCGTCACCATCGCCACCGCGGACGACCACGTGACGGTCGATGGTCACGGCAGGCAGCACCGACGCAGAGCCCGAGCTGCGGCCGTCGACGTGGACGACCACACGCTCGACGCGGGGCGCCTCGCTCGTCGAGGAGGCCAACGTCCCGCTGAGCACGGACCAGGCCGCGCGAGTGGCGCACTCCAAGGCGCCGCTCACAGCACCGACTGCCGCGCGCCCGTGTCCTCGCGCACAGCTCAGCAACATCACCGCGTCATACAAAGGCATCGGCACCTTCGAGATGAAGAGCGACACGACTGTGAACATCTGCCCGCCGCCCCCGCCGCGAACACGGACAGCGACCAAGATGAGCCTCGCCAGCCCATCTCTCGAAAGCTCGTGGCCTCCCTGTGCCCATACCAACGGCGTGGCAGCGCACTTCCTTTCCACTGCCAGGCCTCCCCGCGCTCCCTGAACCAGCGAGGTCCACCGCTGCCCTCGCCTGCGGGAGACTCCTGCCATCTTCCTCCTCCTGCACATGCTGCTGCTCCTCTTGTGCATTATGTACCTCCTGGTCCTGCTGCGCTCGCTCGCTCGCTCCTCTTCCTCCTCCTCCTCCTCCCCCTGCCACTGCTGCCGCTGCTCCTCCTTCAAATTCTGTCTCCCGTCTTCTTCCTGCCGCGGTTCTTTTCCTTGGACGGACCTTGTGCAGGGACGTGCTCCGATCAGAATTTCGGGGCGGATCTGGCCGCAGCGACAAAAGCGCCTGGAGGTCCAGCAGAGGGCAAAACACGTCCAGACACATCGTTCCTCGATGTTCCTCCTCCCAAATCTCCTGTGTCCGACACGACGTGTGGTGTGCAGGCAAGTGGTCCCATGATGTGGTAGTGTATGGTAACAGAAAGTCATGGTGATGATGTCCTGGCTGCATGGTGGTATGAACTTCACGGGTTCGTTCCCCAACTCTTCTGGTGTGGCTGCCGCAAATTCGAAAAACGACATCGTCGTTTTTTTTGAGCTGTGCGAAGACGACGATACGCTGTCAAAGATATGACTAAATCGAACACTATGGCTTTGCTCCCGTGTCTCGCGGGACCGTTCTGTGGTTGGCCTGTGAGTTGATTCGCGGGTTGTTCCATGGTTGTCCCGTGGTTGCTCTGTAGGTTGTCGCAATGTTTATCCTTAGGTTGTCCCGTGGGTTGTTTCGCGGCGTGTCCCGTGGGCTCGAAATGCCAATATGGTGCATATTGACAGACAACTCTATACCTCATATCTCTAATATATTCAACCCTTCGAGTGATATGGCGTTCGTCTTTTCTTGGTGGGGGGCAGGATACTCCATTTCGATGTACAGTCTGGTTGCAAATCGACATGTGTGCGCGCGCGCGCGCGCGCGTGTGTGTGTGTGTGTGTGTGTTTGATGTGCATTTCGACGTGCATTGCGGTTGTACATTGATTTGCTACTGCATTGAAGACGCTCCCTTGCCAAGCGCGGTGGTGGACAACTGGATGCAAGCCTGCAATGCTACAAGACACACCGATGGTTCTGGCTTGTTCCCGGCTTTGCCTTTCTTTCTCCCAACAAACAGTCGCATTGAGCAACGACATTTGTTCTTTCAAGTGTGGCGTTGTTGGGGATGCGAATCAAGCTATTGTCTTATATATACACTTTGAATGTGAACGTCTTAAGTTGTTGGGAATGCAAGCGTTTATACTGCGAATGCGTGCGCCACAACGCCTTTCGAACGAACGCTATTCAAATTGCTTGCTTCCCGCATTGTTTCGCAAAGACAACCACGTCACGCTTCAAAAACAACTGTTGCTTTTCAAGTGGAGCATTCGCCGTGATTCAGAAATCCCGAAGCAAATCCAATAATTCCAGGTTCCAAGCCAGGAGCATTGGTCCATATGCTCGCACTGCGGCTTTGCATTCGCTTGTCCAACATCGCGCTTTGCAAGGGTCGGTTTTTCAAGATGATCGCTGTCGACGCACCTCGCCATTTACTCAAGCTTGTGCACTCCACTACTAAGCATGAGTATCGAAAACGACACCTTGCAAAACGTTGCCTTGAACAACGCGGTTGTGGACTTTTGAATGCAAATGTTACAACGCAAACCAAAACCTCCAATTTGAATCCGACTTTGCTTTTATTTCCTTTGAGGCCCAAAACACACCAATGCCCGCCTTGAACACCGACATTTGTTGTTCAACAGTGGCGTTATGAGGAATGCGAAGCAAGTTGCTGTCGTCTGGCTGGAGTTGTAATTCTAAGGTTGTATGATTGTCGCGAAACCTAGTGGCCAGCGAATCCAATCGAAGACTGGGCCCTGAGGTTGTGCGTGTGCGCAGAAACCCATAGAGGTTGCGCGTCGAGCAGGCACTGTTGGCCAAGGGCCCTGGGAGTGCGCGTCGCGCAGGGACCCTGTGAGCTTACGCGTCGCGCAAAGGCTCTGGGTTTGCCCGTTTGGCAGGGACCCTGGGTGTGCGCGTCGCGCAGGGGCCCTCTGAGTATGCGCGTCGCGCAGGGACTCTGGGTTTGTCCGTTGGACAAGGACCTTGGGGATGCGCGTAGCGCAGAACCCCAGGAAGGCGACGAGGAACGCCGGCAGGAAGAGCCGGCTGCGTCGGCAGGCAGAGCCACGCAGGTAGCTCACCCTGGAACCACGGCCGAATCTTGCTACCCCGCTTCTGGCCCGGGCAATGAGCGAAGGAGCGGAGCAGCCGTAAGGCGAACGAATCACCGAATCTCCAAATGGGATGACCGCGGCCTGTGATAATCTTCCACACTGACAAGACTTTGGGATGATAGAGAATCAAGCCAACGACGCTGAATCGCGCTCCTTTGAACCATCCAAGAGGGCATTCTCCAATCTGCTATAGGCGAGACGTAACGCATTATGAACGGGCCGTCGCATCGCGATGTTCACCACAACCAACTGTACGTGGCAAGGGTGCGATCGATCTAACGCACATGGCGTCCGGAATTCATTTCCTTGAGGAAGCTCGGTGCCTCAGCCACCACGTTGCAACTTTCTTCGCGATTTTGAGGCTTAGTCCACATACTCGTATGCGGTGGACGCTTTGTTGTGCAGACCATGTCGTGCAAAGGAAAGTGCACGCTGAGTGGTACAGCTTATCTGTTGCAGGCCGTGTAACGCAAGATGTCGGGGAGTTAGCACCGTCGAGATAATAATAATAATAGGAGGACAAGTAATATGACTAGTAGTAGTAGTAGTAGTAGTAGTAGTAGTAGTAGTAGAAGAAGTAGTAGTAGTAGTAGTAGTAGTAGTAGTAGTAGTAGTAGTAGTAGTAGTAGTAGTAGTAGTAGTAGTAGTAGTAGTAGTAGTAGTAGTAGTAGTAGTAGTAGTAGTAGTAGTAGTAGTAGTAGTAGTAGTAGTAGTAGTAGTAGTAGTAGTAGTAGTAGTAGTAGCAGTAGTAGTAGTAGTAGTAGTAGTAGTAGTAGTAGTCGTAATAGTAGTAATAGTAGTAGTAGTAGTAGTAGTAGTAGTAGTAGTAGTAGTAGTAGTCGTAGTAGTAGTAGTAGTAGTAGTAGTAGTAGTCGTAGTAGTAGCAGTAGCAGTAGTAGTAGTAGTAGTAGTAGTAGTAGTAGTAGTAGTAGTAGTAGTAGTAATAGAGTAGTAGTAGTTGTAATAGTAGTAGTGGTAATTATGATAGTCGTAGGAATAGTAGTCGTAGTAGTGGTAGTGGTAGTGGAAGTCGTAGTAGTAGTAGGAGTAGTAGTAGTAGTAGTAGTATTAGTAGGAATCGTAGTAGTAGTAGTAGTAGTAGTAGTAGTAGTAGGAGCAATAGTAGTAGTCGTAGCCGTAGTAGTCGTAGTAATCGTGACAATGATAGAAGCAATCGCAGTCATAGTCGTAGCAGTATCAGTAGTAGTAGTCGTAGTAGTAGTAGTAGTAGTAGTAGTAGTAATAGTAGTAGTAGTAGTCGTAGTAGTAGTAGTAGTAGTAGTAGTAGTAGTAGTCGTAGTAGTGGCTGTAGTAGTGGTAGTTGCAATGGAAGTGCTACTCGTAGTAGTAGTGGTTCTAACGGTCGTAGCAGTAGTAGTAGTAGTAGTAGTAGTAGTAGTAGTAGTAGTAGTAGTAGTAGTAGTAGTAGTAGTAGTAGTAGTAGTAGTAGTAGTAGTAGTAGTAGCAGTAGTAGTAGTAGTAGTAGTAGTAGTAGTAGTAGAGGAGTAGTAGTCGTAGTAGTAGTAGTCGTAGTAGCAGTAGTAGTAATAGTAGTAGTAGTAGTAGTAGTAGTAGTAGTAGTACTAGTCGTCGTATTAATATGAAAAGCAGTCGTCGTATTAAAACAATCCTAGTGGTAATGCTACTCGTAGTAGTAGCAGTAGTAGTAGTAGTAGTAGTAGTAGTAGTAGTAGTAGTAGTAATAGTAGTAGTAGTAGTAGTAGTAGTAGTAGTAGTAGTAGTCGTAGTAGTACTGGTAGTGGTAGTTGTAGTAGTAGTGGAAATAGTGCTAATAGATGTAGTAGTAACAGTAGTAGCAGTCGTAAACTTAGTCCTCATACTGGTAGTTGGAATGGTCAAATTGGTAGTAGTAGTAATAGTACATGATAGTAGTAGTAGTAGTGGTCGTACTATTCGGAGTAGTCGTTGTAATAGTGATTGGAAGTAGTAGTAGTAGTAATACTAATTATAATACTAGTAGAAATAGTAGTAGTAGTAGTAGTAGTAGTAGTAGTAGTAGTAGTAGTAGTAGTAGTGGTAGTAGTAGTAGTACCCGCAGTAGTAGTGTCGTAGTAGTAGCACTCGTAGTAGTAGTAGTAGTAGTAGTAGTAGTAGTAGTAGCAGCAGTAGTAGAAGTAGTATCGGTAGTACTAGTCGTAGTATCGAAAGTACTCGTGACTGTGGCAAGAGGCGTAGTCGTAATAGTAATAGTCGTAGTCGTAGTAGTAGTAGTAGTAGTAGTAGTAGTAGTAGTAGTAGTAGTAGTAGTAGCAACAATAATAGTAGTAGCCGTGGTGGTCGTATTAATAATCAGAATAGAAGTAGAGGTATTCGTACCACAAATGTTGCTAGTCGTAGCTGTAGTCGTAGTCGTCGTAATCGCAGAACTAGTAGTCGCAGTCGTAGGCACAGTCGTAGTAGTAGTAATCGTTGTAATAGTTGCAGTAGTAGTAGTAGTAGTAGTAGTAGTAGTAGTAGTAGTAGTAGTAGTAGTAGTAGTAGTAGTAATAACAGAAGTAGCAACAATAATAGTAGTAGCCGTGGTGGTCGTAATAATAATCAGAATAGAAGTACGTAGAGGTATTCGTAACACAAATGGTGCTAGTCGTAGCTGTAGTCGTAGTCGTAGTAATCGCAGAACTAGTAGTCGCAGTCGTAGGCACAGTCGTAGTAGTAGTAGTAATCGTTGTAATCGTTGCAGTAATAGTAGTAGTAGTAGTAGTAGTAGTAGTAGTAGTAGTAGTAGTAGTAGTAGTAGTAGTAGTAGTAGTAGTAGCACTAGTATCAATAGTAATAGTAGTAGTTCCCAACCATCCTGTGGTGTTGGGTCCTCGTTTTGAAGAGACGGTGGCCCGCGTCTCCCCTCCTCTCCTCTCCTCCTCCTCCCCCTCCTCCTCCCTCCTCCCCCTCGTCCTTGCGTTTCACCCACCCAGTACAGCGTTTCGTGGCCCCATAGGGAGCTCCACCGAAGGCCCCCAGTGGCTGCGTTCGCATGGCGGCCTCGGGCCATTTCGGCACACCCCTCACGAGGATCGTGGCCCCATAGGGAGCTCCACCGAAGGCCCCAGTGGCCGCGTTCGCATGGCGGCCTCGGGCCATCTCGGCACACCCCTCACGAGGATCGTGGCCCCATAGGGAGATCGTGGCCCCACTCCACCGAAGGCCCCAGTGGCCGCGTTCGCATGGCGGCCTCGGGCCATTTCGGCACACCCCTCACGAGGATCGTGGCCCCATAGGGAGCTCCACCGAAGGCCCCAGTGGCCGCGTTCGCATGGCGGCCTCGGGCCATCTTCGGCACACCCCTCACGAGGATCGTGGCCCCATAGGGAGCTCCACCGAAGGCCCCAGTGGCCGCGTTCGCATGGCGGCCTCGGGCCATTTCGGCACACCCCTCACGAGGATCGTGGCCCCATAGGGAGCTCCACCGAAGGCCCCAGTGGCCGCGTTCGCATGGCGGTCTCGGGCCATTTCGGCACACCCCTCACGAGGATCGTGGCCTCCGAGGGGTGCTTGGCGTGCCGCATGTGTGAGTACTCGTTGGCCCTCCCAGTGGCCGCTGGCTCAGCCCGCGGGCCTCCCAAGAATGGATCCCATCGGCGCTCCGTCCAAGATGACACCCAACTCCTAGAAGGCCCCTTTCGCTATTAAATCGGCCAACGATGGCCTCCAAGGCTGACGCTGGCTCCAATAGGACCGAGGGTGCCCCCAAGATGGCCTCAAGACACCCAGAGAGAGCTCCAAGAGGATCCTCAGGAGGGCCTCGAGAGGCCAATACCATATGTGATTCTAGCATGCTTCGATGCTGTTCGCGTTCTTGCCTGCTCCGACAACCATAGATGCCCCCAAGATCGTCCCAATACGGCTCAAAAGGCCCCTAAGAGGGCTCCAAAATAGCTCAAGAAGGTCACAAGACGTCCCCAAGCCGGCCCACGAGAGCCCTAGACGGCCCTCAACGGCCCAACGAAGCTCCAACCCATGAAGGCGATAAGCGGCCAAGAGCGCCCTACGACGGTCCAACAGAGCCCCAAGTAGCCAGAGCAGGCAGGAGGTTTCAAGATGACCCAAATGGTCCAACAAGGGTCCCAAGACAACCCTGAAACGGCTCCCCGAGATTCCCTTTCTAGTCTTACCCCAATTGTTTCCCAACGGCTACCGGACAATGCAGTCCACTAACGTGGCCGCACTTTCGCTGATCATCTCACAACACACATCTGTTTCGAAGAGGCATGGGGCCACGGTGACTCGCCGCAGGCATCTTGGATCTAACTTCGCAGACCCACGCGAATCTCATGGGTCGGCGCTGGACCTCCCTCCCCACGACCTTGGCGGCGCCTGTGGCGCCGCCCCAGGCGCGCTCCCCGCGCCGGACAAGGGGAATCGGGGAGGGGGCTCAGCGCCGACCAAGGAACTCCGCGCGGGCCTCCGAATGTTTATGCTTCTGTTCCTTCAACCTTCGAGGAAACCTGCCCCGGTCAATCAGAAGACGAGCTGGGCTTCAGCACCCGGCGCTCCAGTCTGCAGGCGCGGCGCGCTGGCGGACGGCGTCAGCAGCGCGTGCCCGGCGGAACGCGCGGCGTGTCCCCTGCTGGAGGGAGGAGGGAGGGAGCGAGAAGAGGAGGAGGAGGAGGAGGAGGAGGAGGAGGAGGAGGAGGAGGAGGAGGAGGAGGAGGAGGAGGCGAAAGAGGAGGAGGAGGAGGAGGAGGAGGAGGAGGGGAGGAGGAGGAGGAGGAGGAGGAGGATGAGTTATCATATACGAAGCCGCAGAGCGCAAGCTGGTTGCCCTCGAGCGCCCTGGAGAGGAGGGAGAGTGAGGAGGAGGAGGAGGAGGAGGAGAGGAGGAGGAGGAGGAGGAGGAGGAGGAGGAGGAGGAGGAGGAGGAGGAGGAGGAGGGAGAAAGGAGGGGAGGAGGAGGAAATGGAGGAGGAGGGGGCGGAGGGTGGAGGAGGAGGAGGAGAGGAGGAGGAGGAGGAGGAGGAGGAGGAGGAGGAGGGAGGGGAAGGAAGGAGTAGGAGGAGGAGGAGGAGGAGGAGGAGGAGGAGGAGGAGGAAATGGAGGAGGAGGAGGAGAGGAGGAGGAGTAGGAGGAGAGGAGGAGGAGGAGGAGGAGGAGGAGGAGGAGGAGAGGAGGAGGAGGAGGAGGACGAGGGATGCGATATTACCGAGCCCGCAGAGCGCAAGCTGGTTGCCCGCGAGCACCTCTGAGAGGAGGGAGGAAGAGGAGGAGGAGGAGGAGGAGGAAGAAGAGAGGAGGAGGAGGAGGAGGGAGGAGGGAGGAGGAGGTGGCAGGCAGGTGGAGGGAGGTGGAAGGAGGAGGAGGAGGGAGGGGGAGGGAGGAGGGAGGGAGGGAGGGAGGGGAGGGGAGGGGGGGGAGGAGGAGGGGGAGGAGGAGGAGGGAGGAGGAGGAGGAGGAAGGAGGAGGAGGAGGAGGAGGGAGAGGAGGAGGAGGAGGAGGAGGAGGAGGAGGAGGAGGAGAGGAGGTGGGAGGGGAGGATGGAGGAGGGAGGAGCATGAGGATGAGGATGAGGATGATGAGGATGAGGATGGTGCTGCTGCTGCTGCTGCTGCTGCTGATGATGATGATGATGATGATGATGATGATGATGATGGTGAATGTTATGCTGGTGATGCTGATGATACATTTGATGAAGATGGTGATGATGGTGGTGGTGGTGGTGATGATGATGATGACGATGATGATGATGATGATGATGATGATGATGATGATGATGATGATGATGATGATGCGGATGATGATGATGATGCTGATGATGATGATGATGATGATGATGATGATGATGATGATGATGATGATGATGATGATGATGATGATGATGAATATATATATATATATATGATGATGCTGATGCTTATGATGACGATTATGATGATGCTGCTGCTGATGGTAATGATGATGCCGATGATGCCGATGATGCCGACGATGATGAGGAGGATGATGAGGTAGGAGGAATGAGGAATGAGGAATGAGGAAGGAGGAAGGAGGAAGGAGGAAGGAGGAAGGAGGAAGGAGGAAGGAGGAGGAAGGAGGAAGGAGGAGGAGGAGGAGGAGGAGGAGGAGGAGGAGGAGGAGGAGGAGGAGGAGGAGGAGGAGGAGGAGGAGGAGGAGGAGGAGGAGGTAGGAGGAGGGAGGTGGGAGGGAGGTGGGAGGGAGGTGGGAGGGAGGCGGGAGGAGAGCCTGGAGGGGCGCGGGCGCCAGAGCCCGCCCATGAGCGACCCCGCCTGGGAGCTGGTGTGCCCATACCGCCCGACGGGGGGCGCGGGGAGCATGGCGGGGAGGCGCCTGGGGGCCCTGCAGCAAGAGGACCCGAGGGCCGCGCGATGGCCGGCTCGAGCGGGGAATGGGCGGGGCGGAGAGGAGGAGGAGGGCTCGAGGGCTCGAGGCTGAGCGCGCGGCTTTGCCGAGACGAACACGCGGCGGCGGCGGACAGGATATGGATGGGGGCGGGACAGGGATAGGGAGGAGGGGGGGGAAGAGCGGCAAGCAGCAACGGAGCATGAGGAGGGGCATCAGCACGAGCAGGACCTGGAGCAGGGATTGTACATATGAGCGAACGTGGACTTGGAGATCGCGAGCGGACATCTGCATATCCACGCCCTCGCAGTCTGGATTCTGGGGCGCGATCCTGTGGATACGCGGTCGCGTGGATACGTTCCGCGCAGGACATCCTCGGAACAAAAAAAACTCCCTGTATCCATGGGGTGGCGGCTCAGGGGCCCAGCCCACGAGGCAGTGGATATGTTTCTGGCCCACGGAGAGATAGGGGAAAGCAGGGGGACGGTTCCTCTCCTTGACTTTCATCTATGGCGTCATCCTCACCATCCCCTTTGCTCAATACTGGTGGTACTATCAATGCCAATGCCTCGCCGAGGAAAAGATGCCACGTTCAGCGCAATACACCTGAGCGCCCAACTCGCAATGACTCCCTTGAGCTTCAATCCAGACGGACCCTGGACATCATTACCCTGATCGTCGTTTTGAACAGCGTCCAGTCGTGGCAACGAGGGCGCCCAGATCGGCAAAGAAAGGTAGGCCAGCAAGCACAAGTCTGTTTAATCTGGCGTTATCCAAGCCGCCTTCGTGGACTATAGCATCAACTGATCTCATGTGCCTTCTGAGCACGGTCCGTGCTCGACGCCTTTTCCATTGCTGTTTTTGCCAGAGTCCACTGCGACGCTGAGTCGGCGCCTGAGCGAAACTACGGGTGCGCTGCTGAGTCAGATGGTCCCTGCTGGATGCCAACAAAAACCACGAATTCACCTACGTACATCATGAAAACAGCGCGGGCACTAACGACTTGAATGCGCCAAGTGCCACAACTGGCTGCAACCGAACACCCCTGACTAAAACTTGGAAAGAACCGAAACATGATGCTGTTTGCATTCGCATGTGATCTCAATGCGTTCATGTCTGAGATCCACGATCATACCAAGTGGTGTGAGAAGGACTTGGGCAACCGCGCCCAGGGACCCATATATGAAAACGCAATAACCTATTGCGATGCGGCTGAAACAAATATTCGAAAACGGTCAACCATCAATCAACCTGGGGTGAACTACGGCGGGGGGACGACTACGGACCAATCATTGGTCACCCGCGCCAACACGTGCACTGAAGACTCGCACCTATCTGCTTCGCAACAGACCCCTACCGCGTCGCTGCAACTACGGTCGCTGCAAATGCACACATCAAAAGGGAACTGTGTAGACAAGAAGATACACGAGTCGGCTCGGAGGTACCCGGAGACCTCTGGAGGTCCCTGGTAGTGCTCCAGAAGCCTTTGGAGGCCACTCGAAGCCCCACAAGGCCAAAAACACAACAACTAACTTCCCCCTTTTTTAGGCGGCGCGCCCAAGGGGAAGTGAGAAGGGGCGGGCCTTCTCAGAAGGCTCGGAAGTCCCCCGGCCTTCTGAGAAGTTTTCTGTTCCTTCCCCGAAGACAAACAAAAAAGCTTCTCAGAAGGCGCGAGGGCTTCTGAGAAGTCCCGATGCCTTCCGAGAAGGCCTTCTCCTTCTCGTTTCCCTTCCTCGCTCGCGGCCGATTTTTCGAGGGAGAAGACGGCCGCAAAGCGTGCTGCAAGAAGTCAGGTCCTCCTCCTCCTCCTCCTCCTCCTCCTGCTCCTCCACAATTACTCAATATGAATTCGACTCTCCCTCTTCCCCTGATGACGTCTTGGGAATATTCGCCCCCCCCCGTACTGTTCTTTTACACACAAGTTTCCCCAGAGTTGGGTTTTCGCCTGCATTTTTTTCCGAAATGCTACTCTCGCTGAGGCGCTGGCCTCATTTTCGGGCCCCGCTCGTTCCGAATCGTGCTCCCGCTGCAGCGCTGGCGTCATTTCCGCCGGCGCCCGGGCTGCACGCCCGAGCTGGCGCCCGGGCCGGCGCTCCGGCCGTGTCCGGAGCAAGTTCCGGCCGCCGCCGGAAAATCGAGTTCCGAGGCGGCGCCGAAAAAAGGCCATTCCAATACACATTTTTCTTTTGAGAATGCTGAATTTCTGCTTCCGTCGCCCGGGAGGCCTCCCGGGCCGATTCCGACGCCCGGGCCGGCGCCCGATCCGGCGCCCGGGCCGGACGCCCGAACTGGCGCCCGGGCCGGCGCCCGGGCCGGGTCCGGAGCCGGTTCCAGCCGGCGCCGGAAAATCGAGTTCCGAGGCGGCGCCGAAAAAAGGCCATTCCAATACACATGTTTCTTTTGAGAATGCTGAATTTCTGCTTCTGGCGCCCGGGAGGGGAGCCTCCCGGGCCGATTCCGGCGTGCTTCCGCTCGTTCCGAATCGTGCTCCCGCTGCAGCGCTGGCCTCATTTCCGCGCTTCCGCTCGTTTCGATTCGTGCTCCCGCGGCAGCGCTGGCGTCATTTCCCGTGCCATGCCACGGCATGCAATGCAATGCTAGGTTGATGCTACGCTTCGCGGTGCTCTTCTACGCCATGTCATGCCGTGCTCTACAATGCATCGCGTACCCTTTCGGGATCATTGCCCTGCTCGACATCCGACTGTGCGAGTAGAGAGGGGATCTGCGCCATGGTAAGGGATGGGAGGGAGGGGTAGGATGTCAGATATGACGCGAGCGCACCTAGCTTGTCCTCCCTCCCCCTCCCCCCCTCCTCCCTCTCCCCCTCCCTCTCCCCCTCCTCCTCCTCCTCCTCCTCCTCCTCCTCCTCCTCCTCCTCCTCCTCCTCCTCCTCCTCCTCCTCCTCCTTTGTTCGAAGGAGAGGACAGCCGCAAGACGTGCTGCATGAAATCAGGTCCTCGACCGACCAAGTTGCCGGTCGGTCCCCTCCACCCGCCCAGGTGCCACGACCCTCTGTGAGTTTTTTCACGAGGGTGAGGCCCTTGCCTGAGAAACATCCTTTTTGTTGCTGTCTTGTTTGTTTGTTTGTTTGCTTGTTTGTTTGCTTGTTCGTTTGCTTGTTTGTTTGTTTGTTTGTTTGTTTGTTCGTTTGTTATATATATATATATATGTATATATTTATATATATATATATATATATGTATGAATATCGGAGGTTGGGGGGGTGAGTCCGACGTGAAACGGAGACCCCCCCTACCGGGAAATCGATTTCGGTTTCGGATTCGTGTCGTGCGTGCCGTGCGTGCGTGCGGGCGAGGCTGCGAGGGCGGGCGAGAGCGAGAGGGAATCCTCCTGAGGCTGGGCCGCGGCCGGACCAAATGTTTCTCCTCTGGCGGCTGGTGGCCCACGGTGTCCCGCCGGTGTCCCGCTGGTGTCCCGAAATCCTCCTGTGGCTGGGCCGCGGCCGGCCCAAATGATTCTCCTCACGCTCACGTGCACAATCACGCTCCTCACTAGACTCCGCCCCACAGGCATCGTCAGAACAACAATCACCACTTTTGCCCATTGCTGCCCCCCCCCAACCTCCTTATCACCCGCAGGGTGGTCGTATAGGTATAGGTATAGGTATAGGTATAGGTATAGGTTTAGGTGTGTATGTATATATATATATATATATGCTAGAACTATCGCGCGCGCTTCGCGCGCGCTCAGGTTCTAGCAGGCCCCAGACCTTGACGAATTCATTGCTCCACTGAAGTAGTGGACCACAGTCCACGCATGCCAATCTACATTCCGAAAGGCCTTCGAGGAAAATGGTTGTGTCGGGGGGCGGAGGCCGTATGAATCGGGTTCCCAGAAGGCCTTCTGGGAGCATGGGTTTGGGGGCGTCTTGGGGAGCCTGTTGGGGCGTGCCGTCCTCGTCGTCGTCGTCGTCGTCGTCGTCGTCGTCGTCGCCGTAATGTCGTGTCGCCTATTGGGGCGCGCCGTCGTCGTCATCGTCGTCGTCGTCGTCGTCGTCTTCGTCGTTTCGTCGTCGTCGTCGTCGTCGTCGTCGTCGTCGTCGTCGTCGTTGGTTCAAGAGGGCACTTGGGGCAACTTTGTGCGAAACGACCTGCGGAGGGCCGCGAGAAGGCGATCAGTCATGTTCCCAATCAACTTCCCAGACAGCTCTCCTGTAGCATGATGGTACTTCGAAGCCTCTGGGGACTCGCGGGCCCATGATCAACCATGTCCCTGGAAAACTTTCTGGGGACATGGTTTGTTGGGGTGCGTTGGGGGGTCTCTTGGGCGTTCCCTGGGGGCCCCTTGGGGGCCTCCGGGAACTCTCGGGCCCATGATGAACCATGTCCCCAGAAGATTTTCTGGGGACATGAGCCCAAGGAATCATGTTCCCAGAAAGCTATCTGGGAAATACGATTTACCGAAGCGTCTTGGGGGCCCGTAGGGGGCTTCCCTGGGGGCCCCTTGGGGGCCTATTGGGGCTTCTGGGGGGCCTCTTTGGAGCCTCACAGGGCTTCTTGGAAGTCTCTTGATGGCCTCCGGGGACGTCCTAGGAGCCTCTCAGGCTGGAGACCTTGAAATGTCGCGCTCTTCGGGCCCTCTTGGGTCGCTCTTGGAGCTCTTTTGGTCTGGGGAGCCTCCTGGGCCATCTCTGGGCTTTCTTGTGAGCCTCTTTGGCCGTCTTGGAGCGATCTGAAGGGCCTCTGACGCGGTCTGGGACCGGGGGGAGGCAGGACATGGGAGAACGCAAGAATGCTTCAAAAACCATTGGAAAATGCATGCTTTTCGGCTCCTGGGGCCCTTTGGATGGGCCTCTGGAGGCGCTCTTGGGGCGTTTTGGCGGCGTCGTCGGTCGTCCTGAGGCCATCTTCGGCGTGTCCGGGGCCTCTGGGGGCTGTCTTTGGGTGTCCTGGGAACCCGGAAATCATGTTCCCGAAGAGGCTTCCGGGAACATGATTTCGAACGAGGCCCTCTTGGGCCTCCTGGAGGCCGTCTTGGGGGCCTCCTGGGCCAGCTTTGGGGCCTCTTGGTCCGTCTTGGGAGGTTCCGTGAGCCCCACAGAACGACCCTTTTGGGCCGTCTTGTGCCCTCTTGGGTCTCTCTTGGGCTGTCTTGGGGCTCCTCAAACGCGTCTGGGGCACTGTGGAGACGAAGCAAGGGAATATGCAGAATATGTACGTTTTACTACGGGGACGGGCTGATTTTTGCCTCTTGAAGGCCCTCTTGGGGCCCTCTTCGGCCATCTTCAAGCCATCTCGGGCCCTCTTGGGCCTCGCTGAGGCTGTCCTGGGGCCCTCTAGGGGGCCCTGGGAACCCGGAAATCATGTTCCGGGAGAGGCTTCCGGGAACATAATTTCGAACGGGGCCCTCTTGGGCCTCCCTGAGGCCGTCTTGGGGGCCTCCTAGGCCGGCTTCGAGGCCTCTTGGGCCGTCTTGGGGGTTTCCGTGAGCCCCACGGGACGACCCTTTTGGGCCGTCTTGTGCCCTCTTGGGTCTCTCTTGGGCTGTGTTGGGGCTCCGCGGGGGCGTCTGGGGCACTGCGAAGACGAAGCAAGGGAGTATGCTGAATATGTACGTTTTACTACGGGGACGGGCTGATTTTTGTCTCTTGAAGGCCCTCTTGGGGCCCTCTTCGGCCATCTTCAAGCCATCTCGAGCCCTCTTGGGGCCCTCTTGGGCATCGCTGAGGCTGTCTTATGGGCCTCTTGGGCGTCCTCGGAACCCAAAAATCATGTTCCTGGAGAGGCTTCTGGGAACATGATTTCGAACGAGGCCCTCTTGGGCCTCCTGGAGGCCGTCTTGGGGGCCTCCTGGGCCGGCTTTGGGGCCTCTTGGGCCGTCTCGGGGGGTTCCGTGAGCCCCACAGGCCGACCCGTTTGGGCAGTCTGGGACCCTCTTGGGTCTCTCTTGGGCTGTGTTGGGGCTCCGCGTGGGCGTCTGGGGCACTGTGGAGACGAAGCCAGCGAGTATTTGGAAAATGTACATTTTACGAAGGGAATGGGCAGATTTTTGCCTCTTGAAGGCCCTCTGGGGGCCCTCGTCGGCCATCTTCAAGCCATCTCGGGCCCTCTTGGGGCGCTCTTGGGCGTCTTCGGGGCCTCTTGAAGCTATTTTGACCATCTGTACGGCCCGCGTGGCCTGTCGTTGGCAATGTGGAAGCGGCCCAGGGCAGTCCCGGGGGGTCTGTGGCCCCCCAAAGGTTCGGGGGGGCGCCCATGGGGGATGATGGCACCGGTTTTGGCCCCCCCCCGGGCCTACTCTCTCTCTCTCTCTCTCTCTCTCTCTCTCTCTCTCTTTCTCTCTCACACACACACTCACACACACTCACACACACACTCACACACACTCACACACACACACTCACACACACTCACACACACACACTCACACACACACACTCACACACACACACACTCACACACACACACACTCACACACACACTCACACACACACACTCACACACACACACACATTCACACACACACACACACACTCACACACACACACACACGCACACACGCACACACGCACCACGCACACGCACACGCACACGCACAGCACGCGCACACGCGCACACGCACACGCGCACGCACGCGCACCCGCGCACCCGCGCACCGCGCACCCGCGCGACCCGCGCGCACCCGCGCACCCGCGCACCGCGCACCCGCGCACCCGCGCACAGCGCGCACCGCGCACCCGCGGCACGCGCGCACGCGCGCACGCGCGCTACGCGCGCACGCGCGCACGCGGCGCGCGCACGCGCGCACGCGCGCACGCGCGCGCGCGACGCGCGCCTCGCGCTGCCCCCGCGCGCGCTCGCGCACGCGCACGCGCACGCGCACGCGCGCCACGCGCACGCGCACGCCGCAACGCGCACGCGCACGCGCACGCGCACACGCGCGCGCGCGCGCGCGCGCGCACGCACCGCGCGCGCAGCGCGCGCCGCCGCCCGCCCGCCCGCCCGCCCGCCGCCGACCGCCCGCCGCACGCCGCCGCCGCCCCGCCGCCCGCCCGCCCGCCGCCCGCCGCCGCCCGCCCGCCCGCCCGCCCGCCCGCCGCCCGCCCGCCCGCCCGTCCACCCGCCCGCCCACGCACGCACGCACGCACGCAGCACGCCCGCGCGCCCGCGCGCCCGCGCCCGCGCCCGCCCGCGCCCGCGCCCGCGCCCGCGCCCGCGCCACACACACAGACACACAGCAGAGACACAGAGACACAGAGACACAGAGACACAGAGACACAGAGACACAGAGACACAGAGACACAGAGACACAGAGACACAGAGACACAGAGACACAGAGACACAGAGACACAGAGACACAGAGACACAGAGACACAGAGACACAGAGACACAGAGACACAGAGACACAGAGACACAGAGACACAGAGACACAGAGACACAGAGACACAGAGACACAGAGACACAGAGACACAGAGACACAGAGACACAGAGACACAGAGACACAGAGACACAGAGACACAGAGACACAGAGACACAGAGACACAGAGACACAGAGACACAGAGACACAGAGACACAGAGACACAGAGACACCCAGACACCCAGACACCCAGACACAGAGGCACAGGGACACAGAGACACAAAGACACAGAGACACAGAGACACAGAGACACAGAGACACAGAGACACAGAGACACAGACACCCAGACACCCAGACACCCAGACACCCAGACACCCAGACACCCAGACACAGAGACACAGAGACACAGAGACAAAGAGACACAGAGACACAGAGACACAGAGACACAGAGACACAGAGACACAGAGACACAGACCACAAGACACACACACACAGACACACACACAGACACACACACAGACACACACACACACACGCACACACGCACACACGCACACACACACATATTTACAAATATAGAGATAGCTGGGCTGAGCTATAAAATAGACTACGCGCACGACAGAGAGACATGTTTACCTCCAGCAGCTTCCGGAGGGACGAGAACAGGGAATACTACATACAGTAGGGGCTCGACCACAGGAAACCTTCCATAAAAAGCCCAACCCTGGAACCCCAGGACGTCCATTGATTTTTGGCGTGGGGGCGTCACGTATTCCACAGCAACGCCATCGAAACCAAAGAAACCCAGGGCACCCTGGAGGCAAGCAGGGTGCTTCTTGACATGGGTTTCCACTGTAGGAGGATTTCGAGTCCATCTGAGGTTGCAAATTTGGCCGAAGTGCGCACGCCCCCCACAAAAGATCGACCACGACGAGACACGAGAGGAGGTGCATGTCCCTGTGCAGCATTATCAACTCCAGCTCTGCGCCACTCCTTTGTGTTCAAAAAGCGCCCGTGAGCTGCCACAGTGTGACGGGATATTACGTTTGTATATCAGGGCCGTATGCCGATGACTGCCAGTGTGGCGAGAACGACCTTTCTGGAGGAGGCAAGCGGAGTGCCAGCCGTGGACATAGAACCCTAGCCTTACCTGTTAAAAAACGATTGCACGACCAAAATCACGAACGACATCATCACCTTAAAATCCAATGCGCTCATCCAACAAATCGGACAACCACCGCGAATGTACCGCGAAGAGACTGCAGTGGTGCTGCAGGAGGAAGGATTGGGGAAAGGATGAAGCGAAGGAGGAGGAGGAGGAGGAGGAGGAGGAGGAGGAGGAGGAGGAGGAGGAGGAGGAGGAGGAGGAGGAGGAGGAGGAGCAGGAGGAGGAGGAGGTGGAGGAGGAGGAGGAGGAGGATGACGAGGAGGGCAGGCAGGGGGTGAATGGGGGAGAAGGGAGTGGAGGGATGGAAAGGAAAGTGCCCAAGCTGGCTCGAACGTCCTGCACCCACGCGCACCGGCACACTCGTCGTATACGGGAGCAGGAAGAGGCGGGGGAGGCGGCGGAGGAAGAGGATGAGGTGGCGCAGGCGGAAGAGACACCGTCTCAGGCGCCAAAGCTGAACTCCACCTGGCGGGGTGGCCAAGCGCCAACCGCCTCCCCGGAACCTGCCCCTCTCCTGCGCCCGCCCCACCCGCCCTCATTCCTCCAACGCCCCTGACCTAACCGTAGACTCTGGCCACCCCCCTCTCTTCTCCCTCCTTTCCTCCCCTCTCCTCTCCCTCCCTCTCTTCTCCCTCCCCCCCCTCTCTCCCTCTCGCCCCCCCCCTCTATATAGACTCTCGCCCCCCCCGCCCTCTCCTCTCCGTCCCTGCGTCGCCGTTGCCACCCTCCTGCCCTTCCCCCCTCTCGCCCTTTCACCCTCCCGCCCGCCCTTCCTCGTGCCTCCCTCTCCTCTCGAGACCCTCTCTCCTCCCAAGGCCCTCGCCGCCCCCTATTCTCCCTCCTGCGTGGGGCAAGCAATCAGATGCCTGGCCCCTCGCGTGGCTACGGTGAGGACTCTGTGCGGGTCAGGAGAGGGTCGAGGTCGCTCGGGGCGGCCGTGGCCCCGATTCTCCAGCGCAGCAGGGTCCCCGTGGCCGCCCTCGGGTGTCCGACATGGGGCGCATCGCTGGGTCGCTCGTCCCGTGTGGCAGATGCACCTGGGGAGGCAGATGTACGTCTCCCAGACGGGCCATGTCGGTCTCGGCTTGATCCTCCTTCCCCCATTCCCCTGCTGCTGCTGCTGCTGCTGCTGCTGCTGCTGCTACTGCTGCTCCCCTCCTCCGTTCATCTTCCAAATAGCCCCTTCCTGTCGCACCCCGAGACGTGTTGGTAGGGCGGGCCGAAGGTGTCGCCTGAGACTTACTCGCCATGCATGGTCCGTAAGCTTGAAATATGTAGCCGTTTCGCGGATGGAGGGCGTGCCGTTTTCAACATGTGGCTCTCGCATTAGCGCCGCGCACATTCGTCTTCAACATTTGCAAGAACTTCACGGATGGGGGGCGGGCCGTTTTCAAAATGCGGCTCTCGCCTCAGCGCCGCGCACATTCGTCTTATACGTTCGCAAGAGTGTACAACAGTTTCAAGGGTTCTTATGGTTGACGTCCCAGAAACTGTGCTCTGGTGCCATGCAGGACAGTCAGGGCGCACCAGTCACGTTGATTCGCGGTGTTTAAGTCCCAAGAACAGTGTTCTGGCACGATTCCCGATCGCAAGGACGCAACAGTAACGTTGATTCGCTGTGTTGCAGTGCCAAGAACGATTGTCTTCCGAGGGGACATTCCCCTGATTGCAAATCGTTGTATGGGCCTGCGAGGAGGGACTTTCCTCCTGCTCCTCCTCCTCCTCCTCCTCCTCCTCCTCCTCCTCCTCCTCCTTCTCTCCTTCTCCTCCCCCTGCGCGCGTGTTCCAGCGAGCACATGAGGGCGCGCAGGAGGAGGGATGATGATGAGGAGGAGAAGGAGGCCGCGCCTTCAGCCGAGGAGTCTTCGGCGGCTTCCCCACCTCTCGCGGGCTGGCCGAACGGATCCTCGGGGACGGGCGGCGGCGGAGCGGCGACCGACGCATGATGTCTTGTGGTTGCTCTGTCGACCCTGTGCCAGGCGGTTCCAGGGAGGAGGAGGAGAAGGGAGGGCAGTGGAATGTGGCGACGAGTGAGGGGCGAGAGTTGGGCGACGAGTCAGGGGCGAGGACTGGCACAAGGAGAGGGAGGCGGGGGTGTATGTGCAGGAGAGGAGCTGCAGCCTCAGAAGGAGAAGGGGGAGGGAGGAGGAGGAGGAGGAGAAGGAGGAGGAGGAGGAGGAGGAAGAGGAGGTGGAGGAGGAGGAGGACGAAGAGGAGGAAGGGTGAGGGGGGAGAAGGGATGGAGGCGGCACAATCTCGACAACATGTCTGTCGGGGCACCGAGGGTGCTAGCCGTGCTGCCTGCGTCACGCTGGGCCCCTACCCTACAGACGGCGACGCGGTGGAGCTGCGAGGCCGTCAAGGCTCGGGTAGCATGACCGGCGTGGCGTGCGGCGGGGAGCAGGGCCGAAGGGCTCCTCGAAACCTCTTCCAGAGATGCCCGCGTAGTGGGGCAGTGGACACGCACACCCTCCTCGGCCAAGAGGAGGCTGTCCAGTGCGTGCGGTGGGCGTCGAAGACCATTCCCTCTCTGGAGCTCCTCCTCCTCCTCCTCCTCCTCCTCCTCCTCCTCCTCCCTCCTCCTCCTTCCTCCTCCTCCTCCTCCTCCTCCTCCTCCTCCTCCTCCTCCTCCTTCCTCCTCCTCCTCCTCCTCCTCCTCCTCCTCCTCCTCCTCCTCCTCACTCCTCCTCCTCCTCCTCTCCTCCTCCTCCCTCCTCCTCCTCCCTCCTCCTCTCTCCTCCTCCTCCTCCTCCTCCCCTCCTCCTCCCTCCTCCTCCTCCTCCTCCTCTCCTCCTCCTCCTCCTCCTCCTCCTCCTCCTCCTCCTCCTCCTCCTCCTCCTCCTCCCTCGCGCCCAGGGGGGGCCACGTGGCCACCCACGTAGGCGCGGCGGGCCAGGGAGTGCGACCGGGGGGGGGACCGATGCAGAGGATCTGGCGTGGGCGAAGCGCCCCGCTGGGGCTGGGAGCAACTGCTCCATTGGCTTAGCCTTAAGTCGAGCCTGTCCCTCTACAGGGGGAATATTCAAAAATAGTAAAACAATAATATGGGGACGATATTGTGACATTTTTTGAATGCTTTTGAATATTTTTGGACTATGTGCCATTTTTCGTCCAAAATCACCCTGTAGGGGGACATGCCCGACCTAAGGTTAGCCCGCCTCGGCAGCAAGAAGCCGCGAAGGCCCTTGAGTCTTGTGACCGTTCGAATATGGGATCAACTACATAATCGATTTGCTCCCAAGTTGATGTTCCAGCCGAGTATACAGGAAGCACCTAGACTGTTCGTAGATCTACGGGGCCGATGCAGAGAGTCTGGGGCGGGCGAAGCGCCCAGCGGGGACTGGGAGTAACTGCTCCACTGGGTTAGCCCGCATCGGCAGCAGGAGGCCGCGCAGGCCCTTGTCCGCAGCGATCGAGGGGGGGGGGGAACAAGCAGAAGGAGAAGACCTTCTCAGAAAGCGGCGGGGCTTCTCAGAAGCCCCCGCGCCTTCTGGGACATGTCTTCTGTCTCCGGGGAAGGCTTGGGTTAAGGAAACTTCTCAAAAAGCCGGGGGGCTTCCGAGCCTTCTGAAAAAGGGGCCTTCTCCTTCTCACTTCCACCCCTCGCTCGCCGCCGACCTTGGCTCGGGCGACCGTGGGCGGCGGTGCCAGGCAACGTCGGCGGCCTGGGGCTGGCCGTGGCCGCGGCGGTCACGGCGGCCGCCCAGGGGGGGCCTTTAAAGCTCCCCTGCGCCATTAGGGCGGCACCTCCCCCGCCCGAAGGCCGTCCAGCGATGCGTGCCGATCACCTCCATGTCGATCCGCGAGGAGGGTGTAGTTGGCGGTGGCAAGCTTCCCCTGGCCTGGACGCCCTCGGCCAGGTACGGGAAACAGAAGAAAGAGTTCGGGGCTGAAAAGCTACCGAGCCAGGGCCGCCTAGAGCGTACACCCCTGGCCAGAAGCTAAGATCACGGGGGGCCCTCAGGAACGAACTGCCTCCAGGACGTCGGTACTCCTCCGCGCCGCGGCGGCAGGGCCAGAGGGCCATGCCCGCACACATGGCGGGGGGCGGCGGCACGAGAGCCAGCGCCGCTGGCGGGGTCCTTGGGAGGTCTGCGCCGGGCGCGGTCCAAGGGCGGGGGGATCGGTCGTCGTCGCCGTGCGCGGTGCCCCGACACGACACGCGAAGCCGTTCCGTGAACGCACCCCAAAGTGAGGAATCGAGCAGGGCAGGGCTGTTTGGTAAACGCCCAGGGCCGTTTAGCTAGCGCCACTTATCGGGTCCAGGTGGCTTTTCCTCCATTGTTTTTTCCCGCGCTCACGTACTGGGCGAGTGCCTCGCGACCACCCGCGGGCCCCCTCAGTCCTGCCTGGCACCACCAGGGCAGGGCGGGGCGGGTGGGTGCTGTCTCGGGGCAGCCCCGGCACAGGACCCGGCCCACGACTTCACCAGGCGCGGCTTTCCTCCACGGAGTCCCCGAGCCCGCGGCGTGGGCGTGCGCGGGGCGGGGCTGCTCCGCCCGCCGCGGGACGTCTGCCTGCCGCTCGGCGGGGCGGCGGGGGCGGGCGCCTCCCGCCCGCGGCCGCGAGCGGCAGAGGAGCACGGCGGGGCACCGCGCGCGCGCTCGTGGGCGAGCGGCGGGCGATGCCGTGACCTCCGCGGGGGGCCTGGTCGGGCGCCCGCAGGGCGCGGCCCAGGGCCCGCGGAGGTCGAGCGGGCCCGGGAGCGGGGGGCGGCGGGGGCTCTCGGCGTTGCGTCGAGGGCGCCGCCGTGGCCCGAAGACACGTCGAGGTGCAGGCACCGGGGCCGGGCGGCGCGGAGCCGAGGTCGGCCGCGTCGGCGTCGAGGGCGCTTCCCAGTCCGAGAGGGTCGTCGTCTTACACGGGGGGGGAAGGGGAGGGGGGGAGGAGAAGGGAAGGGTGAGGGACGCGGGAGGAAGGGGGGGAGTGAGAGAGGAAAGCGACCAGTGACCAGGCAACAGGGGCTGCCAGGCTGCCAGGGTCAGTGAGGTTGGCCTGCCTCTGGTATCTGCTTAGCCTCCTCCTCCTCGTCCAACTCTCCCCCATTTTTAAATATTTGTTTTGCTGTTTTTCCTCCTCCTCCTCCATCATGGATCATGCATGTCGGCCCACATGGCCGACTCATGGGAAAACATCACTGATGGCAAACTGCGTACGTCATCTCCCAGACCTCGCCGCGCACAGCAGCAACACACTCGTTGAGTGCTGAGGTCTTGCGCGGCTGTGATTAGTCATTGTTCTTCCGTCTCCTCCTGCGACCAAGCCTAACGCCAGCATGAGTCTGCCGCTCAGAGGTGGGTGGCGCACTCCCCTTCGTCTCTGTGCAATGCTCTTTGACTGTGTGCACTGCAACAGAATCGATGCCCCCCAAATCCCCTTTCCGCTGCCACATCTGAGTCCAGACCTCGGACCAGGCACTGCGAGCGGAACCACAAAAGTGCTTGCCTCTCTTGTAAATAGAGGGCGTCCACTACCAAGGATGACGCAAAACAAAACTCGGTGACTCGAAAGGAAAGCTGCGTGGCGCGACGCAGATCGCGCAACTCTGCGCCGTCGATGTCGGCTCCGACTCCGACTAGGCCTCCCGCCATAACAGAGCGAGTACGATACGAACACTCGTGCTGCACAGACACGGTGGCCCACGCATCTGCCTGATCATGCGCAGGGAGGCGCTGGTCATGCCAGCTGCCGTCCAAGAAAGCGCTTCAGCCATGGCATCCCTTTTTCGAGGGGGCAGGGGGGGGCATGGGGGAGGACAGCATCGGGCAGCAGCAGCCTCTCGGCGAAGAGGAGGGGGAGAAGCTGGGCTCACGATCGGACCAAGCCTTCCAAAAACTCAGGCGGATCCAACTCAGGGAGCAACTCCTTCTGGCCATATCATCGACGTAGACCGGCTCGAAGTAGCTCGAAAGGAGATGCTCCCGAGCCTTGCTCGCGGCCATCTGCATGAGCTTCACATGGGTCCTGTGCTTCTCGGGCGGGGCACGGTGGGTCCCTGGTTGGACTCGGTAGGATGGCAGAGTGGCCCCCTGGTAGGGAAGCGCCTCCAACTCCTGTGAGCTTCTGACTATCTGGGCGGGCTTCAGCTGGCCCAGACCCACCCCGTCCCTGGAAAGTGCCGCGCTGCACCCGAAGGCCCCCCCCCATGGCCCCCGCGTCTGAGCAGGCGTCGAACGTTGAGAATCTGGGGCCTCCGCAAAAGTCCCCGCTCCCGCAGCTGCCGTGCCGCTGGGTGCTCGGGGGCGCCGTTGGCTCTCCGCTGGGCTTAACGTGCGCCGGTGCTGGGCTCGCTGCCGCGTGGGCTGCCGGCGCGGACGCTGCCCGTTGCACTGGTGCTGCTGGCGCTGTCGGCGGGGCTGGGTCCCATGGGCGGCCTCTGTTCTTGTTGTTCAGCAGCTCCATGCTCGGTTCAGACATGTGCGCGAGCATGGCACTGCGCCACCATCCTGCACGTGCCACAGGAGACCTCTCGGAAGCGGCGTGGGAAATCACATTGTCTAGCGGGCAAGGGTCGGCATGCAGGGCAGGTCAGGCCAGGCCCTCCACGGCAGAGGCCCCGGCGGCCTCTTCGGTGGAGGGGACAGCTGAAATCCAATCGCCGCTGTGGCCACCTCCATGGCTGCCGCTGGCGTGGGTGCCTGCTGCGACCATGGCGTCGTGCACGGCCCACTGGGCCGTTGAACCGGTGGAAGCTGACGCGCCTGAGAAGCGTGGACCATGCCGTTCATGTAGAGTGCGCGCTGGAACATGTAGATCGTGGGTAGATGGTGTCCTGAATGTGCTGCTGCTGGGCGACCATCTGGACGAACTGGTTCGTTGCCGCGTGGTGCCTGGTGTCCGTTTGCACTGCCTGATGGCGGGCCTAGTCCGCTACGCCAGTGGGGGTGCAACCTTGATCCTTGGCACGTCCGCCTCGGCGTAGGTCTGCGAGCTTCTCCTTGACATGCTCCTCGATCTCCTGGATGATGGCCCTGCGCTCATCGACAGTGTCGCGGACCTCCACCTCCTCGTCTTACAGCATCGACAGGCGGGTGCGCGCAATGCTCGAGTTCTTCCCATGTCCTTGGCGTCCATGAGCCTCTGGCTGAGCGGGTGGAAAAGCCCAGCGCCCTACTTCGGCAACGTCATCTCTCCCTTGAGCCCTGTATTTGGCTTCGGGCCTTCGAGGCCGTGTGGGCCAAGCGTCCCAGGATGGGGAGCCTGGCGAACTGTCTTGGTCCTTCCTTTGTTCCTTGGGGTCCACGGGTGGCGGTGGGCCGCCGCTGTGGCTGCGAGCGCCGGATGCAGCCTCTCCTGCACATGGCGCTCTTGGACTGGCTGTCTGGACGTGCCTTGCTCGTGGTGTGGTGGCATGCCTGCAGCGACTGAGCCGCCGTGGGCCGAACTCAAACCCTTCCTGCTTCCCGACCCCTGCGGGCGCACCTGTGCCAGGCGGGTTCGCGGCTCTCGGACCGCCGCGCAACGCCGGCTGCAGCGCCGTCGATATGGAAGGTCCTGGTATAAGTCGTCTCGCCCCTTCCAAGGAACGCCCCTGGCAGGGATGGCCCAGAAGTCGGCAGGTCGTCCTGGCTTGCCCGCGGAGAACGTCCTTCAGCAGGCGCACGGCAGGAAATCAATCAGAGACTCCAGACGTCAAGAATTAGTGAAAGTGGCGACAGGCGCGCGGATTTGGGACCCAGAGTCCACGATGATGGCTTCGCGCACTGCTGCTGTCGACGCCTTCCAGAACAGACGCAGAGATAGTGCGAGAATCTGCTGCGGCGGAAAAGGGCGCGAATCAAAACTGCACAAGAAGCAGGGATGGGGCGGGGGAACATAGGGGAAATGAATGGGGAAAGGAGCTGGCTGGACCACCTGAGGTCAGGGCATCTCCGCACCCAGGGTAAGCTAAATTGGCTTGACCACCCCAGGGCATGCCTTCTGGGAGCCCGGAGTTGCGAGGATGTCTCAGTCGAAACTGGCCCTACCACCTCGCGCGCGGCATCTCGGAGCCCAGAGTTGCGAGGATGTCGCAGGCGAAACTGGCCCTACCAGTCCCGCGAAGCATCTCGGAGCCCAGAGTTGCAAGGATGTCGCAGGCGAAACTGGCCCGATGGCCTCGCGTGCTGTACCTCGGACCATCTACTGGAGCTCAGAGTTGCGAGGATGTCTCGGGCGAGTTGGGCCAATCCACCTCTCGCGCGACATCTTCGGGTGCAGATCGGCGGTGCGAAAGGTGTGTGTGTGTATCGATCGCTGGAGCAGTAACCTCTACCCAGCCGCCGACGCAAAAGTAAGTGTGTGTGTGCGTGTGTGTGTGTGTGTGTGTGTGTGTGTGTGTGTGTGTGTGTGTGAAAAGGAAGAGACCTTCTCAGAAAACGGCGAGGCTTCTCAGAAGCCCTCGGGCATGCTGAGCTTTTTCGTGTCTTCGGAGAAGGCTTCGAAAGCTTCTCAGAAGGCCTGAAGAATTCCGAGCCTTCTGTGAAGGCCCGCCCCTTCTCACTTCGCTCCCAGGCTCACCGCCGAACGGAGGGGCGAGGATGTCTCAGGCGAAACTGGCCAGACGACCACCCGCGCGGCATCTCGGAGCCACTGTTGCGAGGATGTCTCAAGCGAAATGGGACAGCTCACCTCTCGCGTGACACATCTTCGAACACACAAAGGCGAGGATGTCTCGGACGAAACGGGCTGGACCACCTTATGCCCGGGCCCTCGTTCCAGAGTTGCGAGGATGACGCAGTAGCAGGCGAAACTGACATGGCCACCTCAGGTCAGGGCATCTCGGAGCCCAGAGTTGCGAGGATGTCTCAATCGACACTGGCCCTACCACATCGCGCGCAGCATCTCTGAGCCCAGAATTGCGAGGACGTCCTAGGCGAAACGGGTAGGACCACCATTCAGGTTCGGCTGGGACTGCAGCGAGAGCACCTTCCTCACTCAGAGACGATGCAGCTGGCACATAAAGGCCACAGCACCGAGGTAGGACTGCGGCTAGTGCTGCGTGCCCTGAGGCCGTCACAAATCAGGGCGCGCACCAGGATCCCACGCGAGCAAAGTAGAACGCAGGTAGAGGGAACGAAGAAGAAAGAAGAGGATGGGAGGCCGAGCTCATCTACAACTCCGGGAGATGGCACACAATCAACTGACAATAGTTCCCGCTCGCATAACATTCTGACATTACCACCTTCTGAGAACATCCTGAACTGTTAGTGACTGTGCTTTTCACCCTGTAACATTTCATTGTTTTACAAAGGCACGTGCGCTGGGAAAGCTGGGAATACTTACCACTAGCCAGGAGTCGCTGTAGCGCTCTGTGGCGCGGGTCGAAGGGGGGGCCGCGCGTGAGGGCACAGCCGATGGGGCTTCCCTCCCGAGGGCGGCAGTCAGCAAAATGACATGGCGTCTTCCTTTTCCTTCTACTCCTCCGTCTGAGTGGCAGACCCATGGGGCTATCTCCTTTCAAGGAGTTGTGTCCCGTAGTTGAGGGAAGTGCTTTTAAGGACTTGGGGGTCCTGGGACGGGACGGAGTCTGGTCCTCCTCCTCCTTCTCCTCTTTTCTCCCTCCCTCCCTTCCCGTCTCTATGTTGGCGGCGCATAAAAGGGGTAGGGGGAGGGGGGACATCATCTTAGATGGAGGCTGCTTCTTAGAAGGCGCCGGTCCTACGTCTACAGACAAGGCTCGCGCCTTCTAAGAAGCAGAGGTGTTTCTAAGAAGCCTTCCCCCCCCTACTCCCATCTGCGCGTGGGTGACCTATACAAGACGAAGCCAAGACGAAGACAAATTCGGATGAGGATAAACTGAGAATCTCTGAGATCTGGCGGCTCTGGAGGATGTCTCGGGCGCCGAGGCCTTCCCAGAGAGTTCGGGAACGTTCTGAGAGCGCCCTGGAACGGATTTATCATCGTCCTAACTCCGTCTGACTCGCTCCTTTCTCCCTCCTTTCTCCCTCCTTTCCTCACTTCCTCCCTTCCCGCCCACATGGCCCGTGCCCCCCCCCCCCCCCCAACCGAACCCCTCTGAAACCACAGTGTCGCCGCGACGTTGACGGGTGGGTCTAGGGTACCCGAGATGGGTAATTACGGACAGCATGGGTACGATGCTGAACAACAAATTTTGTCGAGAATCAGCAGCGGCCGCTGTTGGGCAGGCGAGCCCGTGTCTCAAATGGACGACGACCGCGGCGACGCCGACAGGCGAATCATGTTCACAATCAACAAGCAATTCTGGTGGATGTTTTCTTTTTCGGCGTTTCGACCTTCGGCGGAAAGGGGGGGAGGGGCGGGGGGTCGGGCTCCGGACCTCTGCTTCATGCGACTGTTTGCAGCAATGTGCCCTATGGGGGATGCTCCTTTTGGTTGAAACAGGCACGGAAAACAGCCAATATCTACTTCATGGGCGGGGGGGGGAAGGGGGTGCGAGGGCCCGCGCCGATCGACAAAACAATGGACAAGGAAACGATCGGCATGTCCTCCAGGCGGACTTTCGACAACTAATGACAAACAGCCAAAACATATGCATAAGTGGCCAACAAAAACAATAGCAAAACAGTCCCCAGGCTTCTGTTTTCTGACTGTTTTTGAATTTCCCTTTAGAGGCCTCCTAGGTGGGGTCCGAGTAGATGGGGTCGGAGGATCGCGCCGCATCGCCGATACATCGGCGATGCATTGGCGATGTATCGGCGATGCGCCAGCGATGCATCGCCGACGTCGGCGATGCATCGGCGACGACGACGTGAAGCAAATCGGGCACCACATCGAGCCGCATCGTCGATGCGGCGCGATCCGCCGACCCCATCTCGGGAGCGGCCAGGAGGGGGGTGTCCAAGAGGGGGGGATGCAAATCATGACCGGCGGCATGTGCGCGGCCCAGCGGGGGGGCCAGGGACGTAACGAAACAAGAGGAGGCGCCATGAAATCTGGGGAAATGTCGTGGCCCCCTCGCCATGATATCCACCCCCCCTAGTCCTCACCGCCCTCTTTGCCGCCCCCGACCATCTGGGAGGCCCAGAACCCGCACTGATTCCGTACCCGTGCCAGCTCCCCCGAGGGGCCGGGGTGCGCCCGGCCGGCCCTCCTGGCGCTGCGCCTGGGCAGCAGGGCCACGAACAGCCTCGGCGCGAACCCCGCAGCCGCCCGCCCCGGCAGGAAGCAGCGCACCCTGAGCTCCCAAAGAGACGAGGCCAGGACGAGGACAAGATGCAGGCTCCCCGAGCTCCAAGAAGACGAAGCTCCAAGAAGACGAAGCTCTAAGAAGACGAAGCCAAGATGCACCCCGAGCTCCAAGAAGACGAAGCTCCGAGAAGACGAGGCCAGGACGAGGACAACATCGGGTGGGGACAGATCTAGAATCTCTGAAGTCTGGCTGCTCTGGAGGACGTCTCGGGCGCCGCGGCCTTCTCAGAAGGTTCGGGAACACTCAGAGGGCGCTCCAGAACGCTCTGGAACGGATTTATTCTCGTCCTCGCCCCGCCCGACGTCATGAACAAACACAAGACGGAAATATTTCGCCATTTCCGGCTTCTGAGGGGAGGCCGGTTTCAGGGCAGCGGGAAGCTGTGGACCGTAAGCGAATAGACGGAATCCCCGCGTCTGGGGTATTCAAAATGGCCGCTGACACATGGCCAGCCCGTGAACCCGATCCATGTGTGTTCCATTTACCACGTGTTTTGCAAGTAATGCCTACCTCCTCTTGCTCCATTTCATATTCCTAACCCTCCTCCTCCTTCTCCGACTCCTTCTTATCATACCAAACATCCTAATCCTCACCTCCCACGTCCCCATCCTCTTTACCCCGCTTCTCTGTCTCTATATCCCCGCCCTTCCCATCCCCCTATTCCTTCTTCCCCCTGCTCCCGCTTCCTGATTCGCCCCCTCCTCCTCTCCTCCCTTGTCCCTCGTTCCTCGTCTCTCCTTCCCCGTCCGTCCCCATCTAAAACATATCCTCCTGCCTCTCCCCCTCTTTTTGTGTTGGGCAAACTTAAATGTCTAGGTTGGAGCGCTCTAATGGTGCAACAAGGCGACTTAGCACAATGGTGAACACATTGATGTGAATTCGGCGGCAGGCCCTTGCGGTACAGGAAAGGCATCAAGTACAGGAGCAGCAGGATGCCCAAATATGGTGCAGGAGTACAGGTGCCTGCCGCCATGGTGGAGCAGGGAAAGATGAAGGACAACATCCTGCTTCTCCTCCCAGGAACGGTGTTCTGGCACGATTCAGGATCGTCAAGGCGCAACAGCCATGTTGATTCGTTGCGTTGGAGTCCTGATATTGTTTTGGCGCGCTTCAGGGTCTTCAAACGGTTGTCTTCCAGCGAGGCAGTTCCCGCAGTGGGAATGAACCCTTGTAGGGGCCTATGAGGAGGAAACTTGGAGGGAGGGTTTATTCCAACATCGTTGATGCGTCTTGGGTTTTCACTGGTCTCGTCATCCCCATCCTTTTCTCTGGCTTAGGACAGGCGGTGGACGCCCCCCACCACAAAAGTGATCGCAAGATAAAAAAACAAAAAACAATAACATATTAAACAAAGATCGACGGCAACGCAACAACAGCAACACTACCGTCAAAACCGATACGTATCCCGCTGTTTGTGTCGGCTACACGCACGAGTGTCCCTAGGCAAAAGTGACCTTTGGTGCGCGGCTTTTTGGGGGCCACGGGGGGATCGAACCCAGGCGCGCAAGTAGCTACTATCGCATCGCGCTCGGCGATCGGGGGACCGCAGTGGGCGCGCACCAAAGGTCACTCCAGCGCAAGGTCACTCTTACACATAGTGGAGAAACAATCGGCTCAGCCCATTTAGATCTGGCGTATGCAACACATCATGCTATAGCAGCGGCCGCTCCCGGAGCTAGTCCAACAGTTGGTCTTGTAGTTGCAACGACGCACTCGTGGGGGAGAAAACGACACGCTGTGTCTCAGTGAATTGAATGTTCGAAAGGCTTTTCGTTCGTGAACATTTCTGCTGCTGGCGGCGCGCGGATCTGCCTGCAGAACAACGGCACGTGGATCCAGATGAGGAGAGGGCCACAAGCATGGCCAAGTGTCCCCAGCCAGCTCGCTCCATCCAATCTCATGGCGTCTCTTCCCCAAATGTGGGTCATGCAACCCATGCCGCGAGTAACGCTATCGTCGAGACAAGGGCCCCGATGCGTGGTGTATTTTCTGAATGATATTGGCACCAACCGCTCTTCTTCAGACGGTGCGTCTTGTTCCTGGTGTATTTTTGTTCTATCGTCGTAGGTCCAATCACCGTCGTGGTCGGAGAATCGGCCGATCATGCCCAAATTTGTGGATCCTACAACTTGCCTTGCCAATGGCGTGAGAGAGCCCACCTTCTCCTTGATTGCTAACCGTGGATTCGCGGGACCACCGCCTGTGAAATGTCCACGAAAATGATGCCAGGCCCCCTGGACGATAGACTCCCCCAAGACGTTCGACAGCTCGGGGAGGAGTCGGGGGGTATGTTTTTGGCTGCGGCGGTTTATCAGGCTCCTATCCACTTCCGTCGTTCTAAAACTGAAAGACCAGCCCTGTGCGCGCAAGTGACCCCCGCGCCGCGTGGTCAAAACATCCACCGAAAGAGGGGAATGAACGGTCATGAGCATGGTAGGTTTCCGCGTCCAGAACGCACGCTGATGGATGGGCACCTGTCGTGCGTGAATATGGGGGCGCAAGCGCTTGACCTGATGCCAAGACCGAGAAGTAGCTGCCTCAGGGGGTCCCCGGGTATCGGCGGGATAGCCCACCCCGCACCTCCGACGCAACAGCACTTGCAATACTTGGTCGTAGAGGTCGGCTGCTCTAGGCAAGTGGCAAACTTCGTGTTTCGCCGACGTGCTCGGGTCTCCACATATCTGTGCGCCGCGAAACCGACCATGTCTCGCACGATGGCCCTATCGTGACTGTGGTATCGTGCCCTCACAAGTCGCCCCACCAAGACCGTCGCCTCTGTCCCAGTGAGGCCCCAGGAAGCAGGATCGTTGATCACGCCGATGCTCAACGAAACATTGTGGGCAGTCTAAGATATCCAAACCAAAGCTGGCCAAAGCAATCCTGAACACCATCGGCCCTTCAGAAGCCGGGAGATACGCAGAGCGTGCACTCGTCGCTGAGCCGGTGCCTCCTTGTGCGGAGCTCCACTGCGGGTGGATGGGCGCGGCTCGCGGGAGGTGGGGGCGGGGTCCAGAGCCAGCCCTGACCGGTGGAGGCGTGGCCATGCGATCCTGGGGCCCCGCTTTCCGATTGGCCCTGCGTTTGCAAGCCAAGATTACCAAATTGGGTTGCTACCCCCTCCTCCGTGGGTCTCGTCTCCCGTGGGCTGCAGGTTCCGCGTGCATGCCTTGTCCAGCAGCAGGTGTTCGTGGACTCGCCCTGGCGCGTGAGAGCACTTGCGGCCAACTTGTGGAACGTCTCCTGCCATTAAAGAGCTTGGGCGCACATGAGTGGGGGGCTGCTGGCGAAAATGAACACGGAAGTCCTTCGGGGCCACGAATTCGCGGCCGCTGGGCAGATGCGCATTTCATCTGGGGTCGGGGGTGGAAGGGCAAGAGGCATTCACGTAGCAAACTGTTCAACTCTCCTCTCCTAAGATGCAGGGTGGCACTGGTCCGTAGAGTAAGCAAAGGCCCGTTTGGCTCTGGGATGCTCTAGCCAAGCGGATCCAGCGTTGCAGCGAAGCGTCTTCGAGGCGCCGTGCCATTCAGAAAGCCAAACGTGTTTGCGAAAGGGGAGGGCATGGTGGAGAACTCTGGCAAAGAAACATCGCCGAGCGGTAATTCTGATCTGGGCATGCGGGTGTCGCCCAGATGTCGGAGTTTGCGCGGAACTGCTCGTGGTTGTTCCCTCGGATTCGCCCGTGGCCCGCGCTGCTTGGTGCGCGTGGCCTAGCCCTGTGTTCGGTCTGGCCAAATGTGTGCATTGCGGAATAAAGCCGAAGTAGCCCGATCTTCAGCATGCTGAGCCTTGGAATGTAGCTTGAAAATACGCTCTGGGAGTTATCGCCTTTTTGATGGGCTTCAGGGCGCTGCTGGAGTCCCGAACCCTAGTGGCCCCCCCATGGCCATGCTACCGCTGGCGGCGACGTAGGGCCCCGGGCCCCCGCGAACCAACGCAAGACCATCCTCAGAGTCCCAAGCGTCGCGTCGAAAATCAGTTCGAGGGCGCCCGTCGGGCCCCGACCTGGCTGGCCCCCATGATTCCTTTGCTTGCGCGAGGCAAGCGAACGCATGCTCCTTGGGCTATCGGGTCTGCGGCCGCGCCGGCAGCGCGCCTCAGAACCCGCGTCGGAGCTCCTCCGCGCGAGCCCCATCGGCCCATGCGCTGAGCCTGCTGGGATCATCCGCGTCAAGTCATCGACGGATGAAGTGCCTCCTGGGCGCCGACCCATGCCTGAGGGGTTGCAAAGCTCAGATCCCCAGTCGACAGAGGATGGAGAACTTCCAACGCGTTTCCTCCAAGGTAGATTGCCACTCTGGCGCTGTCATGGACCGCGCAGAAGCGGCATCGAGCGAGGGCGATGCCCCCCGTCCTGGGACCTTTGGAGGCGTGGGCGAATGGCGCTCTCCAAGAAAAAGCCATCTGTTCTTCTGTTAACGCGGCGAGAATATGCTCGTTGCCGATTTTGTACCCACAGCGGGGTAGGACCTCCGAGTGACCTCCAACCCCTTCCATTAACGCCGGGGAGGCGGGTATACTATTCAAAACATGTTCTAGCTCTTCTCTCGTGCTGGGCAAGCTGAGAGCGAGTTGGAGGATTGCGGTGTCGGCAAAAAACCCTCGCAAGGTCGAGCCATGGGGCCTCCCGCAAATCGATGGAAGGCGGAGAGTTGACGCGACGCCCGACCTGCGTGCGCAGCAAGCCTGCCACCTCTGCCCTCGACGCCCCTCCCATCCTGATGTTCAGTCTGGCAGCGTAGAAATAGGCCGCAACCGCTGCTCGAAGAAACTGGGGATGCAAATCACAAGGTGCTGGTGGGATCAGGATGCTTCTCTTGCTTTTGAATCTAGTGGGGTCACCGCAGCCAGAGCCTTCCCAGGCATGGGCCAACCGCCCTCCCTTACAGGAGATTGGATCGGACGACGCACGAACCCGCGCAGTCTGGGCCAGCCCG